AGTTCCTTTTGCTATCCCACTTGCTTATTCTCTGTGTGCTGCAGAGTGTTGCGCTCCGTTCTTAGGCTGCGCATTCAACAAAGGGCTCCTCTGGGTAGAAATGAGCTCATGACGAAGAGGAAGGATGAGGCCGTACTCACTCTCCATCCCAATCAAGCTCTTTGAACCCCATAGCTTTCAGTTGCGCGACTGTGTAGACCTTTCGCCCGAACTTCTTCTTCCCAACGTATCCGCCCGGGCCCGTCACATACTTCACCTCGATCGTCCTGAGGTTGAGGAGACGTAGGCCGTGATGAGACTTGTAGAAGTGTTTTGAATGCTGGCGCTCGTAGGGAGGGGTGTCAGTGGCGTCGGCGCGGTCTTGCTGCCGCTTTTTGCGGTGTTTTTTGGCCTGGTCAGCCTTTTTGCCATTTGGCTGGCCGTCGTGCCCATTGTTGTGGGCGCTGGTCTTGCCGCCGTTCGCCTTCGCCTTTTTGCGAGGCTTTCGTTTGCGCTTGCGCTTGCGATTAGGCGCGTTGTTTGCGCTGTCGGCCGCAGCATTGACCTCGCCATCCGAGTACGACGAGTCCGATCGTGCGGCTTCGACATTGTCGACTCCTGGCACATCGACGTCGGAAGAGTCCGTGCCGTCCGTGAAGTCGGGCGCGATGCGGAGGTTGTCGGCTGCGAGAAGGAGGCCATTGAGTGCCGCTGAGATCTCGTCGAGAGCGGGAGGTGAGTCGCATGTGGCGGCGGATTCATCAGGGCTCGAGGCGGTAAGGGGGGAGATCGGCGAGTCAACTTGGTCGCGGAGAACTTGCGCCTCGCGCGCGGCGATCGCGTTGGAGAGGCGGACGGCAGCGCGCAGGAGCAAGTCGGTTGGAAGATTGGTCGGGAAAGGCGCCGCGTCTTTGAACACGTCAAGCTCGGGGGTGGGCGGCGTCTGTAAGAGTGGGTATTAGTATTGGTTGTAAAACGTCGGGGTGAACGTGAGCCCCGCGCTCCGCCCACCACACCATCGCCACAGCCAGCGCCTTGTGCATGACACCAGTGTTTTGTGGGTGGGCAAACGAGACTGGGAGCACACGAAAGAAATGATAAATAGAATGAACACGTACCTCAAGACCCAAAACCTGCCTGTCGTCGCCGTTAGTGGTAAGACGCGTCGAGACACGAGCGCGATCTCAATTAAACGCTCAAGTCATGAGAGCTTGTTTAGTGCCCCTATTGGGCTCGGCCCGACACCCGCGGCCTCTCGAGCACACCTGTTATATATTCCCCGCTTGTACTCTCCTCATTGGGCCCACTGTGAGTGCTTTAGAACCGACTTTCCATGAGATAGACAAAAAACGGGGGCTTAAACAAACTCGATTCACCCTGAATACTCAGGCTTTCGGGTTGAACTCATGCAGGCGGCGGGCTCCCAGGTTGGACTCGCTTGAAGGTTCCGTATGCAGCGCAGACACTCGACGGGCAAGAGACGTACAGATTGGACAACATCTTGTACGTACATACATACTGATAAGCTAGTTACTATGTAAGTACGCGTAGGTCATGAGAGGTTAAGCTCCATAGCTTTCGCCGCCTTGCCGCCGTCAATCCTAAAGAAAGGGAGTTAGTGCAGTCATTGATGACAGAGAGGAGACACTCATGGGCAGCCCAGCAGTATGATGAGGTTGTCCTTCTGCGCCCGGGTGTACATGACCGTCGGATGCTCGAGGAGCTCCCGCTCTTGCCATAGCCCCGCCGCGCGGTGCAGGAGCACACGGCGAGTGCGCGCGTGTTCGCAAGCGGCCTGGATACTTTCCCGATTGTGAGCACGCTCGTAGGCGTCCAAGCGCTTCATAGTGGCGGCAATGAAGTCGGTGGCGACCTCGCACTGTACTTGCAGGAAGTCGCCAAGCTTGGGCACGGCCTCTAGCGTGCGGTGAAGACGTGCGCGCAGGCGGCGCTCAGATTGAAGAGCATCCACAGGCACGCCTTCGCTTCCCTTGTAGTTCCGAACTGCGTAGGGAGCGATGTGGTCGGGTACCTTTACGGGGCGATTGTAGCTATGCGTATAGGTCAGCTGGTTTCAAGAAGCCAAGAGTCGGGGGAATGGGAAACGTACGTATAGCAGTAGCCGCGTTTTTCCTCATGCCGAGAGAGATACTTAAGAAGCTCTTTGTCGGCCTTCGAGATATGACGGCCTTCGAGCTTCTTGCAAGCGCGATATGCGCGTTCACGGTCACGATTAGAGAGCGGCGGCGGCGCGGTCCTGGCACAGCATGAACGACGCGTCTGAGACCATAGGAGTAGCATACGTACGTGATCTCGAGCGATGGTTGTTCAAGATCAAGATCGACGCTTGCGTGGAGAAAGCCGACATCGTAGGTACTGTAGAGCTCCTCTGGCTCAACATTGTCGGGAGTGCCTTCAGCGAACTGGCTAGGTAGGAGTAGATTAGCTTTCGGGGATCACCGCACCCGGGATTCGATGTGCGGAGAAAGGGCGCATTACACTTTCAAAGGTGACTACCGACAGTACCATTACATCTGAAGACAGACTGAGCTTACTAGAAGATAGCTAGAGCTTCCCCCAATATCCTCTCCAAAAATCGTGTGCATACAAGACATTTTCTGGTCTGACGTCGTGAAAACCGTTGAGCGGTCAAGCATGATTTGGATCTCGAGTCGAGGAACGACGCCAAAACGCACAACAGCGTACCTACCTTTCCCCTCTACACCAAATTGCTAGTCACAACTCGTATGAAGCTCACAAGAGAGTCAGTACACATACTCCGCTCGAGTACTAGGGTATATCCTGTATTTAAACCTCTACACACTCCTCGCAGAGCTCATAGTGTGCATGCAGCACTCGGCCCACCTGGCGTCGCTGAGAGCCTCATACGTACTTGCAAAGATGGGCTTCATGATCCATGTACTTGAGAGGTCCTTTTACTTCGCACAGTTCACACAGGATGGCCGGGGATGAGGAGCAGCAGTTGAATTTAGATGAGAAGGCGGGAGCGGTAGTATGTGGATGTCGGTGGCATGTTGTGGTAAATACGCGTACGTCTTGTAAATACAAATAAAAAGATCACATCGTCTCCGGTAGATGAAACAGATTCGGCGCCCTTTGCCCCAAGGCGAAGAAAGACAAGGGCCTCCTGGGTAACGGGCTTGAACTGGTGCTCATCGCGCAGATGCCATCCGAACAGAAGCACAAGCCCCCTTAGTAGTAGGCGCGCGCATTGAGCTTCCTGATCTGATGCTTTGGGAGCAGCTCAAACCACCGAGAGATGGCAAGCTCCAGCGATGCGACAGGGACGCCATCGAACATAATACGGGCGGGGTTGAGGTCATCGTTCGCCTTGAGCGCACTTTCCCTGTCATAATGTCAGTTCCTGCGGCAGCTATCAGTGCAAAGATAACGACTAACCGACTCGCATAGATGCCAGGCTGCGTGCCCTCGCACACAATGACCCATTCCGCGCTATTGGCGTCGACGCCAGCTGCAAGGAGAACTAGCCGGGTCGTGGCGGACACAGGCCTCCACGTCCTCAAAGCGCTGTGAGGAGGTGTGACTAGCGTTGGCGGGACCCAGTCCGGGTGCACCATAACCGGGAGCGTGAACTAATCATGTCAGATGCAATGATAAGCCAAAATCTAGAGCAGATCCGTACCTGTCGATAGCTCGGATCGTAACTGACCGAGGGCCCACTGTGCTCGCCCGTGCCAATGACCCAACGCCCGGCTCTGCTGGTCGACGACTGCGTCACGGGCGTGTCGGGAGATGGCGCACTCACGAACTCGAAAGACGGCGCCCTCACAAACTCGGGAGAGAGCGGCTCCAAGGGCTCGAGGGACGGCTCCCTGACAGGCTTACGGGATCGTGCCTTCGTCGGCGATAGGCTCCTAGCCTTCCTGATTTTTGCGGCTGGTGCGGAAGCCGAGTCCGCCCGTATCGGAGGTATGCTCACAGGGGGCTTACCCATGCCCATGGTAGCGAACACCCCACTGAAGCGCCAGCCGCCTGTGCTGACGCAGGGTTTCTGTGCATTGCCGCCGTCCTCTTCGTCCGAAGAGGAGATGGACAGTGGGGTTTCCAGCTTCGTAGAGACTATGGGCGCAGCGGGGGAACACGACTCTCCAGAAGGGCTTGAGGGAGGGGGACTGGTGGTGGACGTCTTGATCTGGATCATCGCTGCTGCGACTTGTCGGTCATGCTCGTTCGGAAGCTTGGCCAAAGCTTTGTGCAAGACGTTCTCGCGCGCATTCTTGTACTATGAGTATGATCAATGGAAGAATAGAATAGATGATTCAAAACATACCACTCTGAAGTGCCCTGAGACGCCTGGTATGGAGACGTATTGCTGCAGGTCGAGAAACATGTCCTCGGCGACCTCGAGAGGGGAGCAGCGCAGTACGAGAGCCTCCTCAGCCCCAAGAGTGTAAATCAAAGCGTCAACACTGTTGTTGTGTTAGCTCTATCCCCAATGAGTCGCGTATGGGCATACTAGGTGTAGACGCCAGTTACCGTGCCAATGAGCACAACGCAGTCGCGAGTGCCGAAGTCTGCGAGGGTGAGCTTATCAAGCTTATCAACATCTAGCTCATCCGGCTGTAGGATTGCAATATCATATTTCTTCGAGAGAGAACGGTGCAAACACATTGAGAGCGAACTGAAGACCATGAACGTCAGGGAGAAGAACGCGGTGCGCGCGCAGATAAGCGCGCTCGCCGACTTGAATCTTTCACATGACTTTCATTTTGCGCCTGAACGCGTTGACGCGCGCGTCGCATCCATCTCTTCCTCCACGATTGTTCAGCCGACGTGATGGCCCCAAATGCTAGTACTTTCTCTCAGGCCTCGAGCTCTCGAACAGATGGCGTGTTTGAGGTTCTGGGAACACCTAGTCTAATGTCACGCTCGCACCGAGCCTCTAGGGCCTCTGATCGCCCACCGACTGTGTCTTCCTCTGCACCAATAGCTCAAACCACTCATGGTGCCCGCGTCAGGCTTAAACAGCTCTCGGATTTTCAGATACACCAACGTCAGGCAGCTGCTGAGAAGAGGCAAAAGGATGAGATGGAAGGTGATTTGCAGGCACACTCACTGATGCTTCTGTACAACCCCTCATGACTTCTAGCCCGAATGGCTGCTGTGGCCGCTCTCATCGAAGCTGGAGCCGATCCTGATGCACTGCAAGATCTGAGCCACCTCGGATTCAACTTTGATATGTTCGACAACTATGGAGATCATATGGATAGGGACGACTCGGATGACTCAGACAAAGAATTTGAGCGTATACACGAGGAGAATAACAGTGTTCAGGCTCTTGTTCAAGCAGTAGAGAAGGTTCTTGGAAAGAAACAGCTCAAGAGATACATCAGGTGTATCCCGAGTCTTTGCTTTATGCATCATCGCACGCTCACGCCTCAATCAAGTTTCATTACTGGCCGCGGCAAGTTTTGGGCATCTGTCTCGCGCAAGACCCGGCTCGAGCGTATACATGCCCATTTTCAGGAAGCTCTTCCTGGGATGGCACATATATATCTTCACTGGGAACAGATGCACTCCAATATACCACCCGCGGTGCAGTTCAGTAATCACGGTGGGCGCGAGATGCGGCTACGAGCGGTAGATTATACCGGTAAGCATCCAGTCTTCAACTGCACTACTTGTGCTGACATGCCCACAGTAGGAGCATCGAACCTCATCATATTGCAGGTGCCAGACGGCGAGAGTGTCAACGTAGCGCTGATGCACCGAGGGTACATCGCGGGCACGCCGGTCACACCGAGTGTAGCTTTTCACCTCAACATCCTTTGTTTTGCTCATTCAAGCCGCCACTACAATCCATCCTGCGGCTTGCAGGGTATTATACGTGCGTTCTGCATGTTTCAAGGGGTAAGCAAGGGGTGGAATATAGTGGCCGGACTCAGGCTGACCTCGCTCGGGCACTAGATATCATTCACGCACGGCCTCTCATTGAACTTCCGCCAGGCGTTCGACGTCTACCTGGACATTCTCAAGCATGTTGATGCTCGAGTAGGTGAGGCACTAGGCCGTGGTCCAAACTTCCAAGCCCTATATGGCTGCGCAGCCTGCGGATATACAGTGCGTCTTGTATATCTCACAGCAGCACGATGAGCTGACTTCTGCTCAGGATGCTGATGATGCCAATGTGGCATCTCTCGGCCGCTTCCATGCAATTGACGGAAACGACTCTCAGAAACGCATGCGCAATGAGCTGTTTCCCCCCGAAAACTCACAACTCTCAGCAGTTCTAGCAAGGATTGACTCAAAAAAGCAGTAACTCACTGATCACCCTGCAACTGCAGCAAAATGGTGAGTTGACGACGCCTCCCAAAGTGGTATATGTAGATTACTAACCTCAATAAACAATATAATGCCTCGGCCATGCCCGAGGTATCCAAATTGGAACTGTGTGGGCCTCGTGGCCTCCTCCCCATCAATCCGCGGCCTCTGAGCTAGGCCTCCCGCCTCGTGCTCACACTTCGTGCCTCGTGCTCGCACTCCCCGCCCTCGCCATCACCGTGCCATCAATTCCCCGCC